CAGCTCTCATCTGGATTGCCACCGAGCCCATAGTACGAGTCTGGTATGCCCTACCCGACCCTCAGCTCGTATCTGGAATGCTCCCGAGCCCACAGTACGAGCCTGGCATGCCCTACCCGGCCCTCAGCTCGTATCTGGAATGCTCCCGAGTCCTCAGTATGAGTCTGGCATTCCCCGCCTGGCCCTCAGCTGATATCTGGAATACTCTAGGGTTTGTTGGCTACCGCACGGAGTGGTATAACCTCAACCCAACCCACATAATATATCGACATATAACGAAACTAATGCACATACAGATAATCAGGTAGTAACAAAGGTAGACCTACAGATCTACCTTCTAGCATAACAACTAGCATTCATAGCTAACACATACTCAACATATCAATAACTACTTAGGATATCAAATCCTATGGGCCGGCCTTGGTGCCTTAGACCCCTTATTATAGTGAGGACAACTCACCTCTCAACTGTCGAATTGAAGTGATCAACTTAAACTCTCGAACCACGACCACGAACTCCACCACCTATATTTTCCATATGACCATTTCCATAAATTTTGAATTTACCAAAATACCTCAGAAGTCAACTAGTCAACCCTTGGTCAAAGTCCAAGTCAATGGTCAAGGTCAACAGTCCATGTTGACCTGACTTGCCGAGTGCAGTTCACCGACTCGTCGAGTCCTTCCTGAACTCAAGAAGTCGTGAAACCCCAGGTTGACTCGTCGAGTTTCCCTGCAACTCGCCGAGTTCATGCATGTCCGAATTTCGGGAAAACCCTATCCGACTCGTCGAGTCACCCTACTGACTCGTTGAGTCCATGCATAAATCCTTGCACGACAATCTTCATCGGACTCGTCGAGTTGGTCATGCAACTCATCGAGTCCCTTCAGCCCTTTCTCCATCCAGATGATTTTAAGCCACTTTAAAGCTCCATAATGTAGATCTAAGCTCCTAAGGCATACTTCTTACGTAAAGTTGCAAACTTTACGTACATGCAAGGTGATAATGGCCCAAATCAAGCTAAAGAAAGGTTCTAAGGGATGAAGAAGGTATTTAACTCACCAAAGGCTGAAACTTTATGATCTTACAGGCCAAGATAAGCCTATATCGGAAGTTGCAACTTCAGATCACGCCTAATACCCAAAATAACATATCAACATTGCCAAAGTGGCCCTAATCTCATACATGCATAGATCTAGATAGAAGAAGGTCAAGGTAACAACTTGTTACCTCAAAAACGGTGTTAAGATGAAGAAGAACTTGGATCTACATCCTTCCTCTTGTTCCAAGCTTGAGTACTTCAAGATCTTCCTTCCACAATTCACCACAAGGCTTAATATCACACAAGAAGAGAGAAAAACGACGATTTAGGGTTTCTAGACTCACAAGGGGCTATAAGGGAGACTAAGGGAGGCTAATGACCCTTTAAATAGGGTGCAAAACCCCGGAAATTAGGGTTTCATCCTCCAGCTCCAACTCGTCGAGTCATGTCTCCGACTCGGCGAGTTGGTCATTTAAACACATGACCCCGATAGTTCCTACTCGACGAGTCAGGGCATCCAACTCGTCGAGTAGACCTTCCAATATGAAAAAATAAAGCTGTAAAATTAATACCTGAGAGTCGGGGCATTACACTCCAAGAATTAAGGGAGATGGTTGTAGACAACGCTTCGCTACAATCCATTAACTTTCTCAATAATACATAATGAGAGGCAAATCTCGTATTTGCCACCTTTAATAACTCGAGTGACGAGTTATCTCTAAACATTATCAAAGCATGATTGTGATTAAGAAAATATTTTACAACCACTTTCCCTCTTTTATATGTTGTCATCAACCAATAGAATGAATTTGCAAGATCTTTGAAAATCAAATTCAACATATGCACACAACAAGGAGACCAAAAAATGTGTTTGTGTACCTTTTCTATTTCCTTCCCGGCAGCCATGCAACTCGTAGCATTATCTGTAACGACTTGTAGGACATTGCTTGGTCCTATTGTTTCGATGGCTCCAAGAAAATAGTTTGCTATTGCAACTCCAATTTTCTCCACATCAGAAAAATCTTCTGCATACATGAACATCGCCCCACGACTTTTAACAGCTATGACATTAATGAGTGGCTTGTGCTTTACGTTTTCCCACCCATAAGAAACACCTTGTGTATACCATGTATCGTGTATAGGATTTAAATCCTTTTCTACATCTCTATGGCATTCATCAAGTAGAACCGTCCTTACTTTCTCGCTAGAGGGAGGCATATAACTGGCAGATTCTTTGTTGATAGCACAAACCATCTCCAAAAACTGGGGATTACATAACACATTAAACGGAATTCCATTTGTGTAAATCCCTCTCATGATCTTCAAGTCAACAACGCTTCTTTCCATTACATCAAATGCATATTCAATAGGTTTCTTAAAAGAAGAGGAAGATTGTTTTTTACTGATTATGGAGTTCTTTGAAGTACGGTACACACCAACCTTTTCAGTATCTCGGACTTTGTTAAACAGCCTTTCAAGCTTCTCACGATCATTTAGTATAACCAGACACCTTCTAATTCCTAACGTCTTGCCCGACATTGCACGAAAAAAGTGTACATGTATCCTTGTATAGGAACTAGTGAACTATTGTTTGTAATGTTTACAAACCCACTTCTTTGCACCCCCAACATTCTTTCTTGTTGCAGTAGAAATAATGTTTACTTCCTGCAATAATGGCTTGTCATCCCTCACTTCACGAGTGTTAAATTCTTGAGTATCATCTACAAATGTGTTATCTTTAGTGCTACTTTCATCTTCATCTACTTCAATATGCTCTATGTTCTCTCTATGATCAGACACATGTTTACCAAATACCATTTCTTTTTCTTGTGAAAACTAACTTTGCCTCTGATTGTTTTTGTTTCTATTGAGAATGTGTGGTAAAAAAGAAAATCAATGCATGTATATATATAGGCCTAGCTAGTTTACCGAGAGAAAATTAATTGCGTGTAATCAATTAATACTCTAATGCAGTCGTTGATTCTATAATATAATTTTCTTTTTGGTTGACTAATATGCCGACTGAATATCAAAATTCAAAAAAAGTGGCTTAAATTAATGAATTGAAATCGTGTATATGGTTTTATGAAGTGAATCACTATCCCTTGTAAAAACGATATACACAATCAATTGCTGGAAATTGGGAGATTTAGTTACGAAATACTGAGTCGACGTTCCTAACGCACAAAGGTTATTTTAGTCAACGTTCCCAGGCTTCAATCGGCGATCCTAAACATCACTCAGCAATCTACATCGTCGTTCTGATGTTCAAGAAACGCGAATTGGGTTAAGGTCGGGTCAATTTTGAAATCGCTCAATCTATCGATCCAAGACACGTTCCCCATGCGTTCGGAACGAAACCGTACCCCGATCCAGCACGCACGAACTGGAACGAGGATCGTGGCAAGTCTAGCGATTTATGTTACTATGCCCTGCGTAGCCAAAAATTACGCTCCGCATACTACAATTGGTACACTGTTTTGCCAACTTCATAATAAGCTCTTAATACTTAAAGACTAAATGTCCAATTCTCATATCTAGTCCTAAATAATGCCTTAAATGATAAAGTCTCAAACTTTATGCCTTTGCCTGGCTTAAAAGAGCCAAAGACCAAGCCCTAAGTCCAACCCACAATCTAAAGCTTAAAAACTCATGTATGGGGGGATGAGAGTGACCAAGGTCCCATTTTTATGACTCAACAAACTCAAAAATTACTAGAAATGGTATACATGAAACCTAGAGTAGCTCATACTCACTAGGACCAAGATCAAGGGACAAAAGCACATGAAAATCCATAAACTAACTAGATCTATCAAAGAAATCATAAAGGTTCAAGCTATATACCTCCTGGAGAATGTTGAAGAAGAACAAGGTCTGTATCTACAAGCTATGGACTCCCAATAACACCTTCAATGGCTTCCTTCTTCACAAAACACCCAAAGAATCACTCAAATGCTTCAAAGTTCACACTAAGGGGTCAGGGTTTCGAGATGAATGAATAGAGGGGTGGAGGTTGAGTATGGAGAGGGTCTCAAAGAGTTAACGACCTTAAATATGGGTCACAACCCCACAATTAGGGTTTGAACCCTGCACACCTACACCTTGTGTAGATAAGTCTATGCCCTACGTAGGGCATTAAACCCTCACAATGACTTCTTGACCTACGTCATGGGTAGGTGACTAGCCTACGCCCCGCGTAGGACCAATTTTTCCAAAAAAGTAAACTTTAAAATGTACAGAGAAATGTACTTGAGAAAACGGGTGTTACAAAAGCTATAGTAACTATAATTAGTAGAATACTATTTTCAAATTAAAGGTACCCTAACAATATAAATCAAAATACTTATACAACTTAAGAGAGTTATGTATAAAAAGTATTTTCAAAGTATAATATTCAAACATGTGAAATCATCAACATTATGTTGATGTTTTCAAAGCCACATGTATTCTTAGGAAACAAATAGATAGAATATTGCACTCCTTGAAGCAACGGTTGATCAATGGAGCCAATAAAAGCTTGTTATCGTTTATGGTTATGCATAACTATTAAGGCACCATTTGTATTAGAAATTCTAGTATTTCAAAACATATTCTGATGTAATATTTAATCCATAATGGAAGTGATATTTATGTTATATATTGTTTTGTATTGTTCAATGTATGTTAAATATCTATGATCCAACGTTCTAAAGTTGCACAACTCGGCGTTTCTGCCACCGGCCGGGGGTGTGACACAGGGAACACTGGTTTTCTCATCCCCATTGATGGTTTCAATCTCATCATTAGTATCCTTAGAAATACGTAGCACCTAGTGCAAAAAATCATCACCAACAGTCTTGTCAAGAGAAGGAACCTCATCATCTTCTTCATGCTTATATGGAATATCATCATAAAGCTATGAATCATTGTCATCATTTATGTCTTGCTCAGAATCATGCCCTTCATCATCTTCTACTACTTACATATCAACCCAATCAAGTACAACTTCGTGGTCAATATACACACTTATTCTTAGACCATTTTCAGCACTATAACCAGTTTCAATAGAATCAAAGTAGTCAACATCATTACCAATTCTCCTAATACCCTCTGCCAATGATTCATTTCTAGTGCAGGAATAGACATTATCACAACTATCTTTAATCAACTTTTGAAGGAACAAAAGAAACTCTTTAAGATCCATTGCACCTACACCGACATCACAGATTGAAACAACAACATTCAAGTACACTCATGGTTTTGGTGCGAAAAAACATTTATAATGTACCTCTAATCTCAAATACTTACTTGGTGTTGAATCGGAGGCATCTTCTTCACAATAACAATTGAATAGTCGCATTCAACAGTTGTCTTCAATTTCGTAACGATAATCTTCGGTTGGACTTATGGGGTGTATCAATTTTCTCAGTGAACCCTAGTTTAAGGAGAAAATGGGTGAAATGTATTCTAATTCCACGTAATACAACATGTCATCAGTAATTAAACAATTTGAATGGAGGAAATCGGCAAAAATAAGTGATAACTGGTCGCAATGGTTATGATGAACCCAAACGACAAGGTAAATGGTATATTAAATATAAGAAAAAGAAAAATAATGAACCCAAACGACAAGGTAAATGGTATGTTAAGTATAAAAAAATGCACACAAAATCAACAATTGGTTCGTTTCGAGTCATTTTCCTGTATAAATTAACTTAGCTAATTTTTTTATAATTTCTTATAATGAAACATGTTTTGGTTAAGAGAAATTAAATATTTTTTTACTTTTTGTTCCTACAAATCTTTCTACTCTATTAAATGATGACATGTGTCACATTTAATGCTTATTTAATGATATTTAAGTATACTAAAATGACATATGTTATTATTTAATTTGGTAGGAAGATTTATAGGGACAAAAAATAATAAAGAGAAATTAAATATCATCTTACTTTTTGTTCCTATAAATCTTTCTACTCAATTAAATAATGACATGTGTCATATTTAAATATATTAAAATAATATATTTCATCAGTTAATTGGACAATAGGATTTGTAAAAACAAAATTGGAAGAATATTTAATTTCTCTTTTTGTTAATATTTTTGTGAAGAAAAGGTAAATTTGTACGTTAAAATCTAAAATTATTTAAATAATAAAAATGAAGCAAATAAAACACGTGTCCCATAGGTACAGAGAAATCATGCCACCGGTCCATATATATCATCCCGATGTTTTCTTCTCCATCCTTTATCGAGTTGAATTGACCACCGCCACCATTCTCGAACAGCTTAATGGAGCCACCGGAGCAACATCGCCATCACCACCATACAAACTTCTGGTTCATCAAACTCTTATCCCTACAATCAGACTTCCTATCCGATTGTCTTCTCTCTCTCTTATCCCCTTTCCGTTCTATCTTCTCCCTCGCCTCCACCTTCCGCCGCATCGACTCCACCAAAGAACCCATCGACGCCCCATCCAGCCCTGTGCAAGGAAGCATTATCCTTTTGAAAAAAGCACTGTTGGGTTTTCTCGGAGCTGCTTACGTCTGCTGGGTTCTAATTACAGTGATGGTGGTCTCGGTAGTTGTGGGGGTGGCTCTGGTTAACTTATGGGTGGAAGAACCTGTTTACATCAAAGAGAACTTGTACTTTGACTACACAGACGATCATCCTTATGCAATTTTGGATCTTGGGTTTGATGCACCTAGTAAAGCAGTGAAGAATATACCCGTTGGTCACTTCTGTAACGTTCGTTTGACTTTCGTGATGCCGGAATCGGATTATAATCGAGAAATCGGAAATTTTCAGGCATCCATCATCGATAACACTTCTGTTTCCATAAAATTTTCTATTCCAGATTCTAATTAGTTCCTTTTTTTTCGATCCTTAGGTAGTTGCAGAGGCGTTGACGATGACCGGAGATGTCATAACAACCGCAAGCCGGCCGTGCATGCTACGGTTTCGAAGTCGACCACTTCGGCTGATGCAAACATTCTTAATGGGAGTTCCATTATTGTTAGGGATCACACACGAAGTCCAAACAGTAAATCTACAGCTTCTAAGATACAAGGAACACTACTACTCACGAACACGATCCATGAGACTTTCTCTAATCCCTAGGGCAGGAACACCCTTCCTTCCGCAGCTATACGAAGCAAAAGTAATCGTGACCTCGGAGCTACCATGGAAGAAAGAATTGGTTCGAAGATGGAAATGGACGTTTTACGTCTGGACATCTTTATATGTTTACCTTATGCTTCTTGTAATTCTGGTTTGTGTATTTAGATCGATTATGTTCCCCGCCATGGCCATGACGGTGGTTTCTGGGGAAGAAAGACTGGCGGTTTCGGATGTTCCTGCGGAGGAGATGATGGGTGGGAAAGATGGGCCGACTTCGGAGACGCTTAGACGATGGAGACAAAGTAGAAGCAAGAGGAAGGCTATGCTTTTGGGTGAGTGGGATGCAACAAGTATGAGTGTAACGAGGGATGAGGATACGAGCGTTACTACCGAAGATGTTGGGGACTCGGAGTCGGTTTGTCACTGAGGTATGTTCAAAAATTAAAAGTAGTGGTGGTTAAAGTTATAGGACTAAATTTTCTTGACTTTGAAATGATGGTTGGTTTGTTAGAAACTGCATATCTTTTGTGTTGTTTTTATTTTGCACCATGTCATACGATTACATTATATATCGAGATAGCTAGATAGTTCGATACCATTATATACCTTGTTGTATGATTATGTATCATTCGTGTAGTTATGTTTTATGCCTACATGGTTTTGTATCATTTTGTTATGGTCGACTTACTCTTTACCCCTTTCTAAATGTACATATGGAGCCTCGTATCTACCCGATAACACGACTTTGACAAAACTTGGTTTCAAGAATCTATGAAATCAGTGAATGGGCTATATATATTAGATATATGTAGTGTTTTATAATGTTTGATATATGTTTGAACGTGAGAAAACTACAAATTATGTTAATTTTATTTGTTATTTTTTATAAGTTAATTGAAAAATAGAAGGTTTCTGAAAATACACTGATTTTTCATATGATACGGTAGGTGGAAATCACTAAATGGGCCAAGGAATAATTAAGCCGAGTAAAATCATATTGGTTGTGACTCGCTATTTGCAAGAATTGGCCTATTAAGCTATGAAATGGGCCTGCCTTGGATAAAAAAGAAATTCATTTTTTGTATTTATTACATTCAATTTATTATTTTTTTAAATTTAATTGAGAAATAGAAGGAAATAAATGCTTTTTCCTTTGGGTTAATGACTTAAAAAGGTAATATATTTTTCAATTAGTATATATTTGGTCACTGAGTTTTTTTTGTCCATATTTACATTTTCAACTTGTTAAACTGTATACATTTAGTCCTTATGACCGACTATTCCAAGTTAGCCGGTAAAAATGACTTAATATGGTAATATATTGTTGTACGCATTTAGCCTTAATATTTTTGTACACATTTAGTCCTTAAATTTTTTTGTTGCAAAATAATTCATTTTTGTTTTTTTATACTCATTCGGTACTTATGAATGAATTCTTTAGGTTTTTTTCACAACATCTTACATGGAACAATCATTAATGAGGTGTTTCAGGCTTTTGATGTTTATGTCCATCGCGATCTCGACTACTTGGTTGCTTAGATCATGTATTCTAAACGTCATAACTTTTTCATACGATCTTGGATTTTAACGATCTTTATATTCATGTGTTCTTTATATCCATGTGCTCGTATTTTAGTTTGGTACAACTTTCATTTAGATTACTCCCGTTAAAAAATAATATTTTTTTACTTACGATCTTTATATCCATACGTTTTTATGAATGTATGTATGGATGTTTTTTTATAAAACCTTAAGTAAAAGTATATTACATTTTAACGGGGTTAATCTTAACGAAAGTTATAGTAGACTCAAAAAACGAACATGTAGATATAAAGATCGTTAAAATCTGATATCGTATGAAGAAGTTACGGCGTTCAGAACACAAGACTTAGGCTAAACCACAAGACATATGCAACCAAGCAGTCGAGGTCGCGATGGACATAAGCATCAACAGCCCAAAACACCTCATTAATGATTGTCTCACATAAGATGTCGTGAGAAAAACCCTAAAGAAATCATTCATAAGTACTGAATGAGTACAAAAACAAAAAAATATTAAGGACTAAATGTGTATAAAAATATTAAGGACTAAATGTGTACAAAACGAGAAATATATTACCCTATTAAGTCATTTTTCGGCTAACCTGAAGTAACCAGTCATAAGTACTGAATGTGTACAGTTTAACAAGTTGAAGGGGTAAATGTGGACGAAAAAAAAAAGCTCAGTAACCAAATGTATACAAATCGAAAAATATATTATATTTTTAAGTAATTATCCTTTTTCCTTTTGCATATGGTATTGCAAAATCACCAAAATGGCTTAAATATAATTAATGTTTGGCATCAAATGGGTTGTAAAATCATCAATGGTTTGTATTTGGGGTTAGCTTCCTTAGGTTTTTGCTTTGAGGCAACATAAATATTGTTTATATTTATTTATTTTATCAAGGGAAATGGACTTAATAAGGTAATTAATTTTTCAGTTTGTTCACATCTGGACAACTGTCTTTTTTTTGTACACATCTAGGTAACGAACTTTTTAGAAAGTGTTCACATACGACCATTATGACCGGCTGTAGCAGGTTACATCCGGTCATAACCGGTCATAATAGTCATATGTGAACACGTTCAAAAAGTTTGTTACCTAGATGTGTACAAAAAAAGATAGTTACCAGATGTGAACAAATCGTAAAGGTAAAAGTAAATTACATGAATGGTCCCTGTAGTTTGGGTAATTTGTGCGGTTGGTTCCTAACGTTATTTTTTAACTTGAATGATCCCTACTGTTTATTTTTGTTGTGCGTTTGGTCATTGTCTTACCTCAAAAGATTATTGTGCCCTTTTTTAATTTATTTATTAATTAATTTTCTTATTGATGTATTTATTTTTTATATATTTTAAAAAATTAATAGACCCCACATATTTGTATCTCCTCACCTTAAACCTGAAACCACATTCAAGAAATTTAAGCTCCGTCCCACCAGTCACCATCCCATTTCTCATCCTCCTCAACTTCTCTTTCATTTCCATATTTAATGACATCACCATCTTCACTATCCCTTCTTTTTTCTGTCATTCAACTCCGGCGAACCAACTCCACAACCCAATGTCTCTTCATTGAATTTTCCACCATAGTGGTGATTGGGTTGTGGTGGTGGAAAATGCAATGAAGAGACAGTGGGTTGTGGAGTTGGTTCGCCAGAGTTGAAGGACAGAAAAAAAAGAAGGGATAATGAAGATGGTGATGTCATTAAAAATGGAAATGAAAGAGAAGTTGAGGAGGATGAGAAACAGGATGGTAACTGGTGGGACCGAGCTTAAATTTCTCGAATGTGGTTTCGGCTTTAAGGTGAGGAGATGCAAATATTTGGGGTCTATTAATTTTTTAAAATATATAAAAAATAAATACGCCAATAAGAAAATTAATTAAAAAATAAATTAAAAAAAGGTACAATATTGTTTTGAGGTAAGACATGGACCAAACGCACAACAAAAATAAACAGTAAGGATTAGGGGTGTCGAACGGGTAAAATTTTCGGGTAGAAAGGGTCGGGTAGAACGGGTATTTCCTTAAGAAAATAATACCCGATACCCGACCTATATTGTAATTCGGTTTTTCGGTTTTTCGGGTATTCGGGTTTGAGGTCGGGTCGGGTAATTATCGGGTATACCCGAAATTTTTTTAAATGACACTTATTGATAATTTTTTTTATTTATTTTTTTATTTTTACATGTTGGTTGGTTTAATAAATAATTGGGTACGAAAATACTCTAGAATTAACAAGTACATATATAATAACAATACAAATCATTCTAATATGTTATGTACTTTTTTAATTCCGTTCCGTGCGATATTGAGAAACTGAGAATTGTGATGACGATTCAGGACTTCAGCTTCAGCGTCGTATTCCCTTTGCAAGTTTGCGTCGACTGTCGAGCCGTCGTTCATAAGAAGGAAACGAAGGGTTTTGTTTTATTTGAAGTGTGCGTACGTGACTGCATTGTATATTTGGTATTATTTAAAAAACGAATTCGGGTATACCCGAAAATAAATATTCATACCTAAAACCCGACCTATATTATTATCGGGTTAACCTATTACCCGAATGTTCATACTCGTTACCCGTTCTACCCGACCCATTCTACCCGAATTCGGAACGGGTCGGGTGGGTAGAACGGGTTTCAGGTTTTTTCGACAGGCCTAGTAGGGATCATCCAAGTTAAAAAAAAAAAAATAATAAGGTTAGGGACCAACCGCACAAATTACCCAAACTACAAGGACCATTCATGTAATTTACTTTTACTTTTACGGTTTGTTCACATATGGGTAACTATTTTTTTTATACACATCTAGGTAACGAACTTTTTGGAAGTGTTCACATATTGACCATTATGATCGGATATGACAGGATGTAACCTGCTACAGCCAATCATAATGGTCATATTTGAACACTTCCAAAAAGTCTGTTACCTAGATATGTACAAAAAAAAAATAGTTACCCAGATGTGAACAAATTGAAAAGTTAATTACCTTATTAAGTCCATTTCCCTTTTTTTCAAAGGCTATCAAGTAATTGTGGCTTTGAAAATATCCTTTTTTTTCTTATGTTTTCAAAATTGTTTTTAATGATCATTTATTTCTCAAGCGATCTTTTCAGAGTAGCGTCTTGACACATTAAAGGAGTATTAGGAGTTCCATTAACTTATTGTTTTTTTTAAACTAGGGATAATGACTTAGGATGGTAATAACGCTTCCCGTTTGTTCATATTAGGTCCATAACGTATTTTTTGTGTGTATTACACCATTAAGGTTGTTATAACCATTTAGAAATAATCCCTTTTACCGGTTTCTTCCTGTTAAAATGACTATTTGTAAACGGTTATAATAACATTAATGGTGTAATACGCACAAAAAAATACGTAGGGACCTAAAATGGACAAATAGGAAACGTTATTACCCTCCTAAGATTTTTAGTATTTATTATTTTGAATATATATTTTTAAGATTTTTGTATTTATTTTTATATGTGTATTTCATATAAAGTTGTTGAAATTAAAAAGAATAAAAGTAGAAAGGTTTGGATTGGACTGGATTTTGTAACCACATCATCATGAACACCATGAACACCGACTCAACAATCGGGCGTTCCATATGAACCGTCGGTCTAGAATCCACTCAATCCACCACATCACAGATAGATGAAAACACAGGAAGGTCCAAATGAAGTCAATGCCCAACCCGACTCCAAACCTGATCAGCAACTGAAAACTGCAGCAACAAATGCTTCACACTTTCTTGAGAATTATGACACACAGGATACAATAAGGAATCTATCATCACCCCCCTTTCCACCAGTTTAGCTCTTACCGAAATTCGATCCAAAAGCACACACCATAAAAAATGTTAATTTTAATAGGGACAAAACG